GGAAACTTAACCATCTTTGATTAACGAGCTAGTCAAGTAGAGGCATACTAGTGACACTATGCTTGTCTATGTATTCACACATGTATTATGTTTCCGGTTAATACAATTCTAGCATGAATAATAAACATTTATCATGAAATAAGGAAATAAATAATAACTTTATTATTGCCTCTAGGGCATATTTCCTTCAATAAATGATGTTGCGGCATGATCGGACTCCTTCATCTTAATCTGATGGTAACCGGAGTAGGCGCCAAGGAAACATAATGAACCGTGTCCGGCAGTTGAGTCAATGATTTGGTCAATACGGGGCAGCGGGAAGGGGTCCTTAGGGCAATCCTTATTGAGGTCTTTGAAATCGACACAAAGGCGCAAGTATGTATCCTTCTTTGGCACCATAACCAGGTTTGCGAGCCAGTCCGGGTGCTTGATCTCTTTGATGAACCCTGCTTCAAGTAGTTTGGCTAGCTCCTCCCCTATAGCTTGTCGTTTGGGTTCGGAAAATCGCGGCAGCGTTTGCTTGACTGGTTTGAACCCCTTTATTATGTTGAAGCTATGTTCGGCTAGTCTGCTTGGGATTCCTGGCATATCCGAAGGGTGCCAGGCGAAGATGTCCCAATTTTCGCGAAGGAACGCTTGTAAGGTGACGTCGACCGTCGGATCCAGCTGTGCTCCAATGGATGATGTCTTGTTAGGATCCGTCGGGTGCACTTGAAATTTGACTATTTCATCTGCTGGTTTGAAGGAGGTGGATTTGGACCTTTTATCAAGGATTACATCGTCGTTGTCCACTGTGGAACGCAGGATGGTTAACGCTTCGGCCGTGAGGGCTTCGGATAGTGCCTCGAGGGCCAAGTATGCGGTTTTGTTTTTGGCGCGGAGTGATATATCCGGATCGCTAGTGATAGTGATTACTCCATTGGGCCCTGGCATCTTGAGCTTCATGTACCCATAGTGGGGTATGGCTTGAAAGTGTGCGAAGGAGTCCCGCCCCAGAAGGGTGTGGTATCCACTATTGAAAGGGGCTACGTGGAAGAGCAACTCTTCGGACCTATAGTTATTAGGCGTGCCGAATACTATGTCAAGTTTAATTTTCCCCGAGCATCGTGCTTCTCGACCGGGGATAATACCTCGAAAGGTGGTAATGCTTTGCTCGATGCGACTCTTGTCCATTTGCATTTTGTCGAGCATATCTTCGTATATGAGGTTAAGTCCGCTTCCGTCGTCCATGAGCACCTTGGTGAGTCGAAAGACGTCCACAATTGCATTTAAGACCAAGGCGGATGGTGCTTGGACTGATCGTCCCTTGGTTCGTCGTCGGCGGTGAAAGTTATGGCCGTATGGCTCCAAGGGTTCATTGCAGTTACTTGATTGACTTCGGCGAGGTCGCGGAGAGCCCGTTTACGCCAATTATTTGAAGGAAAGGTCTCAAGACCGTAAAGACATTGAAATCATCATCCTCCGAAGAATGCTTCAATGGAGTAGTGTTGGTGAGGATAGCCTCGCCGCTCTTAGCCACTTGCCGGAGTACCCAACATGCCCGAAGGCTATGTGTTGGTTCGGTGCTCGGCGTCGTATGTATCTGACAGGGCTTGTCGAGCAGTTTGTCAAGGACGGTTTTATATCCCATGAAGGGCTTGTTTTTATTGTCACTTGGCGTATGATCGGATGCCTCGTAAGCATGCATCCGTTTTGCCCGCCCGTGGGCTGCTTAAAGGCAGGAGGTTCCCATCGGGCTGTCTGGGCCTTCCAGGCGCTCTCCATCGCGCAGTACTTCTATACTATGTGCGTCAGGTCTGCAAAGTGCTGAATGCGGCGGCGGTTGAGGGTATTGAGAGTTCCCTCGTCCGTACAGTTGCGGCAAAAAACTGAAACCGCGTCGCCGTCACAGCAATCTTTAATCTTGTTTTTTATAAGGAGGAATCTGGCCCAGAAGTGATGGACCGTTTCCTTAGGCTATTGCCATATGTACATTAGGTCACATATGTCTGGAGGGCCTGAATTGCTTGGGGAATATTGATCGTGGTGGGTGGGTGGAACAAAATCCAAATCCCGACCCATAATTGGATCCGGAGCTTGAAGGATCTCCGAGGTCACCGGTTCAGGACCAGGAAGGTCTTGACGATTTCTGAGCTTAATGTCTGATCCTATGTTTGGAGGACATAAAGTCTCTTCCCGAGGATGGGTATCCGGCTCGCAGGGCTCAGAAATTCGAACATAGCTGGTCCTTAATTTAGGGGAAGAAGCGTTCTCGGCTCGCTCCTCCACGACCGCTACCAAGTGGGTGATCGGTAGGGGGTTGATCTCCCTCTGATCGGATTTGAGCCCAATCCGATCATAGTCTGTTGCGACCCCCAGGGCGGTGATGCAATCTAGCAGCTCGTTCAAGGACGAGACCTCTAACGGGTCGATACGAAGATGATGTTTGGCGATTGTGGGGGCCGCTGTTGGCTTAACGGCCGGGTGAATGCCCATGGTAAAACTACCGAGCTGGAGGACCTGTCCTGGAGCTAGGGTCCTTCCAGAAGTAATGCCATCATTAATGCCAAGGCGAGCCATCGATCCTTCTATCGACAACACAAAGGAACTCTCAATGAAAGCACCAATGTCGGTGTCAAAATCGGTCGATCTCGGGTAGGGGGTCCCGAACTATGTGTCTGAGGATCGAAGGTAATAGGGGACAAGGGGAACACAATGTTTACCCAGATTCGGGCCCTCTTTATGGAGGTAAAACCCTACGTCCTGCTTGATTGTATTTGATGAGTATAGGGGTTACAAGAGTTGATCTACCTCGAGATCGAAGTGGCTAAACCCTAGATGTCTAGCCTGTATGAATTCTGATCCTCTCTACGGACTAAACCCTCCAGTTTATATACACACCGGAGGGGCCTAGGGTTGTACAAAGTCGGTTCGTGGAAGAAGGAGATTACATATCCGGACACCAATCTTGCTACCCACGCAAAGGAGAGTCCTACTCGAACGCGGGGGTAAGCCTTCTGCTTTGTGTCTCCACGGCCCATCAGTCCGGCCCACATCCAGTAGTCCGGACACCTGAGGACCCCCTAAGCCAGGACTCCCTCACTCATCAAGCATGGGCCACGACAGCCTTCTGGGCGAGGAAACGCTGGCTACTTACCAACAACACACACCCATGCCCCTTCTAAAGTGGCATGCAGATCTTCATCAACATCGAAGATGAATAAAACCTCTCTCAATGGAAAAAGTTGTCACCTATATGCTCCCAAGCAGCTTGAGGTTGGCAGCACCTTTGCTGACTACAACACCTAGAAGGAGTTCATACTCCACTTTGCCTCGCGACAGCGTGGTGGTATGCAGATCTTCGTCAAGACTTAACCTCAAGATGCAGAACTTTGTGAAGACATTCATTGACAGGACCATCACACTAGAAGAGGATTCCCATGACACTATCAGCGATGTCAAGGTCAAGACTGCAGTAGGAAATGTTTCCACCAACCCATTGTTGAAAATATGCCCTAAAGACAATAATATTGTATTGAGAAAATACATCCTACCACCCATGGATAGTTACCGCACATGTCCTATATAATATTTTATCATTTAAATATGTTCATATACCATATCTAAGATATTTCAAAGTAAGCTATATGAAAAAATTGCATGTAAGTCCATAGTTTTTTTGTATATTTTGAAAATACCTTCATATTTGTATGTATAAAACAGTATATAAAATAACAGTGCATACTACCTAAAAATAGGATATATATATATACTACTCAACTATTCTTATATACTACATATTACATGTACATACTCTCGATTTTGATAGATACTCCCTCCATCCACATATATAGGGCCTAATATGTTTTTCGAGATTGCTTTTAACTATTGATAAGATTAATACTATATGAGTTGTATAGTGTGAAAGTTATATCATTGGAAGCCCCCTTCACGTATGAATTTGACGGTATGCTTCGTGTATCTTGCATGTCATGTATTATTGCTCTAATATGTGGTCAAAGTTAGCCTCGAAAAACGCATTAGACTCTGTATAGATGGATAGAGGGAGTACTACATACAACATACCAAACTCATGTTACGCTGACTACCACTGGTGATAGGAAACATTTGTCCATATTGTATTATTATATTTCTCAGTTTATATTTCTACTAGTCATCTTGATAACATGATTTCAGAGATATATGTGCCTGTTTCTTCTTTTGATACCAACCTTATATATTTTCTCTCTATATATTATAGTTTTTTTAACGAACGGGCCTAATTTAAATGTGTTTTGTGTCTAAAAACTGTCATCATCATATCTTGATCCTGTGACAATGAGAGGGTTCGCTGGGATTTTTTTAATGGAAAACGGCCGCCAGATAACATTTTCACTAGAGAAGATATGATATCATGGAATGAAATATTTATTTATTCCATGTATCACGACAGATATAAACTACTCCCTTCGTTCATTTTTATAAATCGTTTTAGATAACTGAAAATGAGCTATTTTGCACCTTGTATAAAACGTCTTGAAGGTTTTATAAAAATGAACAGAGGGATCGTTGAATCTCTCAGAAGCTTGCCGGTGATCTCCACCACGTGGCCCTCCGGCGGAGCACGTGGCCTCCGGTGGAACGGCGGAAGCCATAGGAAGCACACGGAGAGGCATCTGGTCCATTCTGTCCCCATCCCCAAGCAAGGAACCAAATCCAGGCCAGAATATTAAACGCAACACAAATCTCCACACACTACCCGCTGCCAATCTATCTGCGTGGCACGTGCCCCGCACCGTGGTCGACGCCCTACGCAAAGCACATCCCAGAGCAGAAACGAATAGGTGTTGTCCACTAGAAAGGGGAACATAATTCAGGGCGGAAAGGGGAGGGAGCGGCACTGCTCCGCGCACGCACCTTCTCCGCATCCACCGGGCAATCCGGCCCGTGCGCCACCGCCCACCACACGCGCGCAGCTCGACCTCGACCTCGACCTCGATCGCGCGCCAGGGCGGCGGGCCATGGCGTTCCTCTTCGGCGCCCTGCTGGGGCTGGTGCTCGGCGTCGGCGTCGTCATGGCGTTCGCGCGCATCGAGAATTCCCGCGCCGAGCAGCGCCGCCAGCTGGTACGCGCCACGAACCCCGCCCCCTCCTCGCGTTTCCAATTTCTCGTTCCCTCGCGCGCGATTGCGGTGATCCGATTCCGACGCGATTCGGTTGGCCGCTGGGTTTGTCCGTCAATCTGTGCCTCTGCAGGTGCTCGAAATTAGGAAATGTTGGGTTAGGACGCTGCTGATTGGAAATCAATTGCTAGTATTCATGTTGGGCGGTGCGGATTAATTGTGGAGGCATGGGTGGTTCATTTATACGGGCCATAATTGCTACTAGGCTTTGATCCTGATCACGCTTGTTGTTTCCAGTTCGGGTATATTTACGGCTGCGGCTTCGCCATTAGCTGCATTCAGTCTAACTCAGCTGGGCATTTTGACGAGCAGTTGGCGCGCGTCTAGCAGCAGGGGGAGGGCGCGGGCATGGAAGCCTCCGGCGAGTTGGCTCTGGTCCTTGCCGGCCTCCGGCCGTAAGGCTGCTCCGCTCGACGACTAGGCGACACGAGCAGCAGCCCTGTGCCCTCCGTGCTGCTGGCCAAACGTACAGCTCCGCCCCGGGTCTGCTGGCCTCTTCGTGCCTCGGCTCCCTGGCCCCTGTCAGCCTCTGTGCGCTCCGCTGCGAGCCGCACAAGCTCCGTGATGGCCGACGCACAGGTTGTAGCCGTTGTCGGCGACCGCAGCAGCGCCCTCCGACGCGCCGGGCAGCACGTTGGGAGAGGTGGTGGCCTGGTGGGGTACAGGGCATCTGCCAGCAGTCGTCAGCAGCATGATGCGCATGCACAAGTAACTCGGGGCGGTGCCGTGCGCAAGACTGAACACGATGATGGGGTCCCATGGTGGCAGCGTCCACATGCCACACCTTAGCCGCTAGGTGCTTCATCTCGGCTTGCACAAGGCGGTATTGCTTGTCCGCCGCTAGGTGCCCTGTGTGAATTGTGCACTTTGAATACGTCCTTACATTGAGATGAGCATTCCAAAAAAGTGAAAACACCTCTTTTAAAAGTAATTAATGCTTTGGTTTACTGACTACCCTGTGCAACTCTTAGGTGGTGTTTGGTTCTCTAGTCCTAGGACTTTTTCTAGTCCCAACTAAAAAGTCCCTAGTCCCTAAAAAGTCCCTCCCTGTTTGTTTCCAGAGACTAAAAAGTCCCTAGTCCCTTGCTAGAGGTTATTAAATGACCATGTTGCCCCTAGTATATATAAAAATAACACTCAAACAACACCATGGGGTGGCGGGCCAATGGGTGCATGGAGGGACATTGTTGGAAAAGTCCCAAAAAGTCCCAAAAAGACTCTCCTTGAGAGTCTTCTTCATTTAGTCCCAAATGCCTAGTTTAGTCCCTAAAAAGTCCCTCCCGTTTGGTAAAAAAGTCTCTAAGAGGGACTTTTTCTAGTCTCTACACAAAAAAGTCCCTGGAAACAAACACCCCCTTAGTTCCACCACTCCCACTTTTAAATTTTGGTGAGCTGTGAAAAAATTATCTTGAGAACCTAGCAACTATTATTTGCTGACAAGAATATCTTCCTACAGCAACACTTGTTTGTGGACTGGTCAATTCTCACCATAATTTTACCTGTCTGCAGGCTGCTACAGTTTCATCTTTCTCAAAATTGTCTGTTCAAGATCTGAAGACACTTATTCCTACTGAGGCCTATCCATCGTGGGTATCTTTCAACCAAAAGCAGAAGTTGAGCCTTTCTCTCTCTTAACATTCTATTAAGCTTTGACCTTGGTGTTTCCCAATGTTGTGCTGATACCTTAGTTTTCTGTTTTTCATAGCTTAAATGATTGAATGACCTTGGCCTTATCTAATGTTGTACTGATACCTTATTTTATTTAACTTCTACAGCTTAAATGGCTGAATCAAGAATTGGTGAAAATCTGGCCATTTGTCAATGAGGTGCTATTCCAGCTTCATTTAAGTATCTACTATAGTTCTGATACAAGATACTGAGTTTTCCTACTGCGTCTTCTGGATATTGGAAGTTTACTTAGGATGGCAAGTCTGGTTATTGTAGGCTGCATCGGAACTGATAAAATCTTCTGTGGAGCCTGTATTCGAGCAGTACAAGTCATTCATTTTGGCCTCCATCCATTTCTCAAAGTTGACACTTGGTACTGTTGCTCCTCAGTTTACAGGTAGGACATTGTTATAAAATCTTGATAATTTGTTGATGGATAAATGGTCATTCTTTTTGTATCGGACAGTATAATATACCGGTATAGTATGGTATAGTTTGCGTAGACAAGCCTTTACTTTTGCGCACAAGAATTAAGGAGTAAAGTCCGTCACCTTATTTATCCCCATGCATAGTAGATTTTTTCTCTTAAGAGACATAATTAGTTCTCACACGCATGCCCTTTTCACCATGTAAATTTGAGTGCCACACTTACAAGAGAGTAAAGTATGCCTAGAGGTTGTCAAACGACTTACACAGAGAACGGTTCACTGTCTACTTAAAGAAGCTGGAAGAGGACATCAATTGCCAGCCAGAAATCATTTTATTTATTGTTTTGCTAACATTTTGTTTGATTTGGCTATGTTCTTTTGATACAGTAGCCATAAGTGAAATATGTAGTTCAATTTGGTTTAATTTTTTTGGACAATGCTGCTAGTAAGAAAGCGGCCAGGACTTAATTCTCATTTTCAATGGAAGGATGAAGCAACACATTGTCATTTGGCTTCCTATGCCACCCCCACCCCCAACCCCTTGTGCTCTTGTTCGGCTGCAGGTGGTAGTTGTTCGCTCCTTGTATTTATATAATCTATGCTCCTAGACTCGGGCATACTTCAAATAATTCTCTTTAATAGGCACTTAGTCTTTGAACTGATATGACAGGTTCTGTAGAGCTTCCAATTGCTGGGTAAATGACGACTTAGGTCGCATGTGATTTTAACTAATGCTTGCATTATAACAAATACTATCTATGATGACAGTTGGAAAACTCAACTGTGTCATAAGGATGGCATCTCTAAAAAGTACGTTGCTTTGTGGTGTTCACGTTGGTGGCCAGGTCGGCCGGTGGTGCCATGTTCTTTGTAATATGGATTGGGTTGTAACGGATTTAGCTCGGTTTTCTGCGAGTTAACCGGGCAACTCTTACTCTCTTCTTAATTAATGAAAATGGCAAGTCTTTTGCCTCATTTCAAAAAAAGGAGGATGCATTTAGTATATCTGTGTCAAGCTCATCATAATTTGTACATATCACACTGGGGGTGCCTTTATGACAATTGGTGCCCGTCTAATGTTGGAGGAGGGAGGAATAAGTAGAGTGGCACATTATCTTGTTAAAAAATGATAAGATGGAGCTGGAGTTGAAACAAGAGGGGATGATTTGCTGGGGTTAGATATGTAGAGTGATTGTGTCACCAGTTATGACCAGGCATTTAGTTGGATAGTGATGAGATGATTTGATTGATAATTTTTGTAGCTCTGTCAAACAATTTTAACATGTTCACTCTTGTCATAATTGTTGCATGGCTTTGTTTCTCCAAACAAACCCGGTAAGAGAATCATAATCTTTGTTTGCACTCCTGTTTTAGCAATAAATCTTTTCATGCTCCATGAACCAAAGCTCTGTGCTCAGCTTTTACACATGCCCAGGCCAGAATGCCCTGTTTTGCTACTGCATCGTACGTCGTGGATACTTCTTTATTTGAAAAAAAAAGCCCTGAAGTATTCTGCATATCTCAAATCATTTCATATAATCAAATAAGAAGACATCTCAGGCTTCAGCTTAGGTTTACGATGATTTGCTGCATCTTATCGAAATTATGATACAATGGTTGATGTTCTCCTACAAATAAACATCCTTGGTTTTTGTTGATCATTCTAGCAAAACTTTTCAGGAGTTCAAATTCTGGATAGCGACAGTGCTGGTATTACTATGGAGCTTGATATGCAGTGGGATGGTAATCCCAATATAGTACTTGACATTCAAACAACTCTGGGAATTTCACTTCCTGTACAGGTAACTTACAAATGTTGCAAATGGAAATTAACACAGATTTTTTTAGTACCATGCAGTACCAAAACATGATCTTATCTTACTATGGAGTACCCTTATTGTTTGTCAAGAAAAAAGCAAGGACCGATTGTACTTAGTCCTACCAATTGCAGTTTGAAGATTCAGTTTCCTTCAATTAGAAGTGCATGCGCGTAGTACTATTGGTTCAGTTTTTGGGAGGGAAAAGAAAGAACACTGTCTCAGTTTACAAGTTTCATCACTGAAGCTTTACTTTGTGTAATGCTACACATTAACCTTGTTTTCTTATTAGTTTTTATTGCACCATGGTATAACCTTATATCGAGTACTAATTATCATTCTCTAAGTCCTTTCATCTCTAGGTGAAAAATATTGGATTCACAGGCACACTACGGCTACTCTTTAAGCCTCTGGTAGCCGAACTCCCATGCTTTGGAGCTGTTTGCGTTTCTTTGAGAGAGAAGGTATATCTGTTCTATCCAATCTTGTGATCTTGAGGAAAAAAATCACAGGTTGCATGATATCATTGATTTGATTGTAGAGCAAGGTGGATTTTACCCTCAAAGTTGTTGGTGGCGAAATGACAGCAATTCCTGGAATTTCTGATGCAATTGAGGTTTGGTAACCGTACATTATCAACTAAACTACATTATACATACTGTTTTGCACATCTCAGCTCAGGAAACAATTCAGGGAACAATACGTGATACCATCGAGGACACACTGACATGGCCTAATCGCATAATTGTCCCCATTGTGCCAGGAGATTATAGGTAATTAACTGCTTTGATAATTTGGGAGTATAACTTACATGCCTGTTTCCATAGTAGTGATAATAGGCCTGCTATTTTCAGTGATCTGGAGCTAAAACCTGTTGGATTATTAGAAGTAAAACTTGTGGAAGCTAGGGATTTGAAGAACAAGGACCTCGTTGGGAAGTCTGACCCTTTTGCTGTGCTATACATACGTCCACTGAGTGCAAAAACGAAGAAAAGCAAAACAATAGTAAGTGAGTTGTGCTCATCTGGTCAAATCAAAGAAGATATATCCTTACATATATTGTGCTGCAGAACAATGATTTGAACCCCATCTGGAATGAACACTATGAATTTGTGGTGGAGGACTCATCTACCCAGCACCTGACTGTGAAAATTTACGACGACGAAGGGCTCCAGCCGTCAGAGATTATTGGCTGCGCTCGAGTAGACTTATCGGATGTTACGCCTGGAAAGGTCAAGGATGTTTGGTTGGAACTTGTGAAAGACCTGGAAATTCAGCGTGATAAGAAACCTCGTGGTCAGGTCAGTTGTTACACTTTTCAGCATAACTTTTCTACTCCATATACGGAGTTATAATATGTGGTGAAACCATAACATTGCTGTCATGGTTTCCTGTTATTTTCTTTTTTACCATTATGAATGTGTGGCTGATTAGTACTATGATTCTCAGTGTAAGATTGTAAGGAACATATCCTGCCACTTTTGCTGTTCATTTATTTTTTATTTTGATAAAAATTAAGAAAGCGATTTAAGTGAGGTGTTGATATAACCAAGTCCTGTGAACCCATCTTCCTAGCATTTTCTGAATGTTACTCCAAGCATCCACTGTTTGCCCTTCCCCACCAGTTAGCTGGACGACGAAGATGGCCTCCGGTCATATCATGCCTGACACTGGGAACACTGGGTCGGGTCATCCTTATCCACTGTCTCTGCCCGCTTTCCAAGCAGGCCTTGCTGCCTGGTAAATTTGGTCTTCTTGTCTGACGACACCACTGCCTGAACTGACGACAGCGTGGCACTGTCAGCCTAATCTGCTATCTCTCCCTTCTCTTATGTCCTTGGTTCGATTCAAATTTTCTGCCAGGAAGTTACAACAACAACAACAACAAAGCCTTTAGTCCCAAACAAGTTGGGGTAGGCTAGAGGTGAAATCCATAAGATCTCGCGACCAACTCATGGCTCTGCCAGGAAGTTAACAGAATTAAATCCAATTTTGTCTCCCTCCACATACTTCTACTACATTCTAGATAACTTGGTCCGTAAGTCATATTTTTCCTAACCTTTACGCGGTGTTTTCTAGAGTCTTCTAGCTATGAGTGGAACTGAGCTGTTAAGACTTCATAAAGCCTATAAATATGTTATTTAGGATATATTTGGGCTGTCAATGTTTGTTACTTCTTTTACGATTACAAGTAAATCATTACACTTACACACACGTGAGTACGTTGCTTATCACTGAAAAGTACTCCCTCCGTCCCATAATATAAGAATGTTTTTGACATTACTGTAGTGTGAAAAACGTTCTTATATTTTGGGACAGAGGGAGTACCATCATTTTTGTCAAAAGAACAATACGTGTCGGTGACATGGAAGATGTTAAACCTAGATTGATATGCCTATCAATGAAGTGTTAGTAATGACTTAAATTTTCAAGCATCACAATGTTTGTGTTCAGTATACACTTCGTCAACGTGTATGTGTAGCGATGGCAGTGTGTGGTATGTGCATGTGTGTGTGTGTGTGTGTGTGTGTGTGTGTGTGTGTGTGTGTGTTGAGATCGTCATTTTAGGAAAATGTATTATGTCGCCGATATTCAGCGACATTGACACTATAATTCAGTCAAATCTACAAATTCAGAGTGTATTAGATTTGTCTAGCAAGTTATCGAGATTGTCAATGAACCAAGTCGCCACAAATACATATTTCGCAGTTTTCCTATTTGTGGGCAGTACCAGAAGGATAGAGAAACTTACATCAACAATTTATCACAATTTTGTATCTAAGAAAAATATTATATTTCAGCTTATTTGTCGGTATAAATATTTTTAAAATGGGTTTTTATCATTTATGCCACTAGTTGTGTCCCACTACTCAGTTTTGCCATTAGAAATTACAACTGCTAAAAAGTGCCATCGTTACGTGAGATGCTTGCTCAAAATGCCATTAGATATCTAAAAAATGCCATCATTTCATTAGATGTTTGCTCAAAAATGCCATTAGACATCGTTATTGTGAGGTCAAACTCGTTGACCATGTTATATGACAAAAATTCCCCTATACCCACATGTCAGCTCTCTCTATCTCACAATGATAAGTGTGGACCCCACTTGTCAGGAGTAAGTAAGCGAATAATTTTAGAGGGAAGTAAGAACGCTGTTGGGATCAAGTGGGACCCATACTTTATTGTAGTGAGATAGAGGGAGAGCTGACATGTTGGTCTATAGGTATTCTGGTCATTATAACATGGCAAACGAGATTTGAGCTGACAGTAAAGGTGTCCAGTGGCATTTTTTTAGCATGCACCTAATGAAGCGATGGCATTTTTGAGCAGTTGAAATTCTTAGTGGCAAAACTGAGTAGTGAGACTTAACCAGTGGCATAAATGATAAAAACTATGTACATGTGATTGATTTAATATTATATTGGTATATATAATATAGGAGTGTAGATATACACTTACAATTTTTGTCAACTTTATTTCCTTAATGCCTAAACTGGCAGGAAAGGTGATTGCTGATTAGTATGATGGGTATTTATAGTTGCAATATTATCCATAATTTCCTTCTGAATACACTGATTCTTAGAGTAGAGGCATCAGAGCTTCATTTTCACGGCAATACCATTGGTATTCTTTTAATAAAGAAACTAATTTACTAGTAATTGTCAGACGTTGTTCTCACCTACCAAGTTAACAATCAAAGAGGAGTACTAATCATCACGCATCTTGGCTTTGCTTCTCTTGGCCAATCAATATTGACAACAAAGTACTCCCTCCGTTCACAAATATAAGATGTTCTAACTTCTTTCTGAATCGGATGCATATGGACACGTCTTAGTGTGTTTGTTCATTCATTTCAGCCCGTATGTAGTCCATATTGAAATATCCAAAACATATATATTTGTGAACGGAGGGAGTATCATATACCGGGACATAATCCCCTAAACTGTGGTGATAAAGATTTGTTGTGGAGAGGCTAAAGATATGTTCACTCTTCATTTTCTGTAATTATATCATCATGAAAATATCTCTGTTGGGTTTCTTGTGGAGAGGCTAAAGATTTGTTCACTCTTCAGGTCCACCTAGAGCTCCTGTACTACCCTTTTGAGAAACAAGAAGGGGTTTCCAATCCTTTTGCTGGTCAGATCCAGTTAACTTCTTTGGAAAAGGTCCTCAAGACGGAATCTAATGGATATGATGTCAACCAGAGGAAAAATGTTATTACGAGAGGAGTCCTTTCAGTAACTGTTATATCTGCAGAGGACATACCAGCAATGGATGTGATGGGGAAGGCTGACCCGTTTGTCGTCCTGTACCTGAAGAAGGGGGAAACCAAAAAGAAGACTAGGGTACTCTCTTATCTCCATCTGCAGTGCTGTTCTTATTTTTTTCCCACATATGATTCCAATGTATTTGCAGGTTGTGACTGAGACGTTAAATCCGATATGGAATCAGACATTTGATTTTGTAGTAGAAGATGCCCTGCATGATTTGCTCATTGTGGAAGTATGGGACCATGATACATTTGGAAAGGTGTGTTTCTGTCTTTATCTTGTGTAGCTCGTGTACACTTATTTTCTCCTTATATTGTTTCCGTTTGGCTTTGAGATTGTCCTGCTTGTGTTACTACTGCCTTTCCATAGTTATATCAGATAGGTTTTGTCTGTGTAACATACTAAAATATGCGTTTAATTTTTGACTGGGCATATGAATATATGTGTTTTCATAACGCTGATTGTATGACGGGTTTTTCATGCTGGTCATTGGATAAAAAAGTGCGGATATAAAATGAAGGGACTATGTTTCTTTTTAAATACTCTCTCCATCCGAAAATAAGTGTCTCGACTTTGTACTAACTTTAGTACAAAGTTATACTGAAGTTGAGACACTTGCTTTGGGACGGAGGGAGTATTAAGAAAGAATTAAGAAAGCCACCACAATTTGATTTGAGCCAGGTGGTGGGGTTGTACATCAGCATCTCCTTAATTTACTCATACAACTTTTTGTGTGGTTTTGCAATGTGTTTGCCACAACAGGTGAGATTTTTGTGCGTCAACCATCAAATCATGGGAGTGTAGCTGCATCCTTTTCAGAAATGATCTTTGTGGATCCCAGAAAAATGCGAAAAAATCCGTAGTAACGAGAATACCGTGCTACAACGGATGGGTATTTGATGCACATGATCTGTGCTACCAGTGATGAGGGGATAAAGCGCGAGAAATAATTAATCAGGGGGTTACTCGTAACTTGTTTGGGGGGAGGGGCAACACCGCAACAATGTATCTAATCTGGCTTTCTGTGTGATATCTCCTTCCAAAAGGTCTATCTCTCATCTTTCAAGGTGTACTTCCATTCCTTCATCCCCTGAAAAGCTCACATAGAATGGCGTATGATTAAGGGGAGCGGACAACAGTGTATGAGGAGAAGGCATCAATGAGGTTGCTGCATATATCCAAGTGCATTACCATGGCATTTGGGCGTGGTGCTACACACGTAGATGGTCCTGATAGGTTTTGAAACATGCACCGGCTCAGTCTCTCGAAGGTGCTCATAGGGGTAGGGTGGGGGAGCATGTGTTCATATTTGTGAGCGCCTGCGTTTATACTGTGTTTTTCAGAAAAAAAAAAGTCTTGGTCCAACTAACTAGCTCAAAACTTTACCCTCCAGTAGTAGCAATAAGATGTGGGAAGTTTTGGCCCGAGTACTGCACTAAAAATCCATGTGTGGTTTTGAGCTAATTTTGTGCCCTATAAGCTCAAAGCTGTTGATCGGATCTGTGGTTCTGTTTTCTCAGACTAAACTCGTTATCAATAAGCTCGAACCTGTTGATCAGATCTATGGTTCTGTTTTTTCAGACCAACTCCTTATCCGTTGAAATTGCAGGATTACATAGGGAGATGCATCTTGACACTTACCAGGGCGATACTCGAAGGCGAGTTCCAAGATACATATGTGCTGCAAGGTGCTAAATCTGGAAAGCTGAACCTGCACTTCAGGTGGACGGCACAGCCAATCTACCGTGATCGTGACAGGGACCAGTGAAACCTGCATAGCTTCACACGATAAGACTGCCTTCTTCCTCTACGATGCCTGTATATTAGCCTTTCAATACACGGATCCGCTTGGGTCTTGTAAGTTGTAACCGTGTATAGAGACTACTTTGTGATTAGTCATAAATATCGTTCTACATATGTCCGGATCTATATAAAAAGTCACGTTTTCGTCCAGAAACGAGGGGAAAAAAACTCAACGGTGCTGATGCTCGCGTGCAACTCTCTGGCCTGCGGAGCTGCTGCTCGCGCGGGTCGCCGAAAAAGGAAGTTTGCTTGGTTACTTGGGTTGTTATTTCTTCTTGTTCGTTCACTTGCTGCTCGTTCGTTATGTTTTTTGTTTGATAGATTTGGAGAAAAATAAGGAACTAAAGAAATGTTCGTAAATTTGAGAAAGAGTTCACAGATTAAAAAAAATATGAATGTGAAAAAGAGTTCGTAAATTTAAAATATCCATGAACTTGAGAAATGATTACGGAATTTGGAAAAAAGTTTTCGATTTTTTTTTTAAATATGGAAATTGAAAGATAGATTTGGAAGAAGTTAAGGAGTTAAAAAAATGTTAGTCAATTTGTGAAAGAGTTCACAATTTTTTATAAATTTGGAAAAGAGTTCGTGAATTTAAAAGTATTCATGAACTTCAGAAGTGATAATGGAATTTGGAAAAAAAGTTTGTGAATTTTAAAAATTTATGGAATTTTTAAAAAACATGAAACTAAAAAATCACAAATTTGGAAAAGTTCATAGAATTTGAAAGAAAGTTCATGGAATTTGTTTTTTAAATGGAAAAAAGAATAAACAAGAAAACATAAAAAATATACAAAAACATGTTTAAAAAACCGCACATGGGAGAGAGAAAATTCATGTCCTATTTTTTTTCATTTACACCCTCTTTGAAGTTTTAATTCCCTTCATATTCTTCCAACTCCACTTGTGTATTACTATAGTGTGTGGTATTCTTTTTATGTTGTTTATTCCGTTGCATATGTTCTCCTCATATTTTCTACAATAGATATAGATGTGACGTGTAAAACTCGCATGCACACAATTGGTAGCTATTCCCAAATTATATGCTAATTCATTATTGCGTACACATGAGTTGTATTATCTTGATAAGCAATTTTTACATGTATTCTTTTATTGGCAAAAATACACTTAAACAATACTTTTATTGTTCTATGTCTTTGTTTTTTCTTAATCAAGATATGCCTAAGTGTGCGCCGTTGCTACCGTGAGGATATCTAAAATTACTTTTGTGTTCTACCGGCTTGGAACCTAGGTTTTGAAAAAAAAAAGTCTGGATTTGAAGTTTAGAAAAATCTTATAAAAGCACACATGTACATAGGTATGTTTTCTACTAGTGTGCAAAGTTTCATGACCTAATACCTTCATATGCGAGCAATAGAAAAAAATAAATTCGTGTGTGTATTTCATCGTGAAAAATAACATAGTATTACATCCGTATGTAGGTGTGTATTTTGTTTCAGATCATTTTAAAATTTTAAATTTTGATTTTCAGAATTTGTTAGCCCAGGAGCAAGAAATCCGCGCTCAATCATAATGTATTACATTTGTAAATAATTATAAAAGGTAAATAAATAATTGGGATTGCTAAATCTCAGTCGAATTTAATCAAGTCTCCATCTAAGTTGATGCTTTATTTGTGAGATTTATGTAAAGACCCGTGTAAAATTTTAATTTTTTTCTTTCTTTGTTCTTATCCTCCCTCCGTCGTATGATACAGGAACGTTTTTCAATCTATGTTAACTCGAAGAACATTCTTTTTTTTTAAGTTCAGACCTTCACTTTATTATACTAAAATAGCAATCTCGTCTGATACAATGCTAAGGATGCAATCAGGGGGGGACTGAATCCCAAAAAACTGAAACTCTACTACTAACCCCTACATGCATCAGCATATGGGCAGCCCCATTTGCTGTCCTACGTACCCAGGTAATCTTGAACTCATTCAACATAGCGATCAGGCCCTTCACCTCCTCCACCACTTGTCCTACATATGACAGGTTCCACTCCCGCTCCTTGATCATCCCAACTAGTGCCTGGCAATCTGTCTCGAGGTGCAGCCTGTGAATATCTCGTTGTAGTGCGAGCAGAATCGCTCTCCTACACGCTAGGAGCTCGGCAACTAACGGCTCGAAGACATTCGGAAAGAAATCCGCTGTTGCCCCTCTGAACGCCCCAGCTTCATCTTTGAATATCACCCCCCCTCCCCCCTGCCTCCACCCAGTCCTGTTCGAGCCTTAGCTCTGTCGACATTGACCTTCATCCACCCTTGGTGGGGAGGCAACCATGAACAGTCTTTCACTCCTCCATTAGTGTGGCCACTCTTCTTGCAATCTGCTCTGGGTTCTCAATCTTTTTTCTGTCGCGTGCGTCGTTCCTTGCTAACCACAACGCATAGAGACCCCGAATCAGCATGACCTTTTCATCCTCCGCCGCCTCCGTCAGCCATTGTAGCATCCACGACGCGAGTGAGCTCTGGGTGCTCATCGATATAGGTGGGATCGCCACCCACGCTCCCAATACCGAGCCATCTCCTTCCAAAACAAAGTCGAGTGGTAGCAGGACCAAAAACGATGATGCAGCGTCTCTTCTCTGCCACACGCTGGGCAAAAGACACCATCCTTGATATGTCGCCGGCGCAGCTCGACACCAACGGCCAAATCATTTTTGATCAATCTCCAAGTGTGAATCAGCTCTTTACCAGGGGCATTGGTTCCCCACAGCGCAAGCCAACCCCGACGAGTCGCCACTGACGATGAAGAGTCCGATTGTCCTGCTCTTGCATGTTTCTTTTCCATGCATAGATGGTAGGCAGATTTGACCGAGAACTGTCCACTCTTGGTAAAATTCCATGCCATGAAGTCTTCTGATCCCTGTCCATCCACGGAAATTTGGAGAATGTCCTGTATATCATCCGGCGTGAACATGCCCTCAAGCTTGTCCCTGTCCCATGCGTCACTCGTATCATTTAGCAGGTCACACACGCGCGTTACACCATGTACGTATACCTGGCCCAGTGGCCTCAGGCTTCCTTTGCGTGGTATCCAGCTGTCGTGATGGATGCGGATTCGTGTACCGTCGCCCACTCTCCAAGTCAGTCCTTCCAGCAACAAGTCCCTACCATGCAGAATACTTTGGAATGTACACTAGTAGAAAAAGGGTCAAATGTAAAGCACATTAGTGCCGGTTTGAATTTGAGCCGGCACTAATGTGACCATTAGTGTCGGTTCCAACGGCTAGGCGGGCGGGCATCATTAGTACCGGTTCGTGGGCAACCTTTAGTACCGGTTCATGCCACGAACCGGTACTAATGAGGTTGTGTCAGGCTATGGTCAGGCTGGGGCCCACACGAAGACCTTTAGTATTGGTTCATGCTATGAACCGGTACTAGAGTTTTTTTGTAAGCTGATTTTTAGTCCCACCTCGCTAAGAGAGAGGCAATATGAGCGGTTTATAAGCCGTGAGTGCACAGACAATGACGAAGAGTTGCAATGCTCACCTGCATGTTGATTAGCTTCAAGCCTTGCGGAACAGTATAGATTGCACTGAGCTATGTGCAGTGCAGTCTACACTATTCCGAATGGCTTGAAGCAAATTAACCAGCATTGCACCTCTTTTTTTATTTTTAATAACTTATTTGAACTCCGGACTTCTTTTGTGTTCAGTATGCAGCATTCAAAGCGACGTCATCAATTTCCAACATGTTCTGACATCATTTGTTGTTTTTCGGTCATTTACCTAATTGTTTAGAGAGTTAAATGACCGTGAAATTGAAAATCACTACAAAATGAATTCTGAAAATGTTGAAACTTGGCATGGTATCATCATATCATCCGCATAGCATGCGCGAAAGAGTAGAGATGGTCATGGCAAAAACTGGACGCACTTCGTGTGCAAACTGGACAAACTCTTTCGGAGTATCAGGGTTTCGGACGAGAACTCATCTGTTACACGGCCACTTCAATGTTTTTTAAACTTATTTGAACTCCGAACTTCTTTTGTGTTCAGTATGCAGCATTCAATTTCCAGAAGACAATAAATAGAAGAAAAGAAATAATGCAGAAAATAAAAAAACTATACAAAAAATTACTTAAAAATAAATAGAAGAAAATAAATAATGCAGAAAAGAAAAAAAAAACTATATAAAAACTACTCAAAAATAAATAGAAGAAAATAAATAATGCAGAAAAGAAAAATTCATCTGTTACACGGCCACTTCAATGTTTTTTAAACTTATTTGAACTCCGGACTTTTTTTGTGTTCAGTATGCAGCATTCAATTTCCAGAAGACAATAAATAGAAGAAAAGAAATAATGCAGAAAATAAAAAACTATACAAAAAAATTACTCAAAAATCAATAGAAGAAAACAAATAATGCAGAAAAGAAAAAAACTATATAAAAAACTACTCAAAAATAAATAAAAGAAAATAAATAATGCAGAAAAGGAAAAACTATATAAAAAATTTGTTGGCGCGCTGCCCAGTGGGCCTGCCAGACCTAGGGTGTGCAAATGCAGGCCCAGAAGGGCCAGCAGGCTCATAGGGCAGCGCGCCCTAGTTAATTAGGCCCAAAAGCCTGCTATATAGAGAATCTCAAAGGAGCAGCCGCGGCTGGGTTTATAAACTAGTGCGGCTGCCCTTCGCTCGGCGAGGTGGGACTAAACATTGTGCACCGCCGGTGGCAGCGCACAACCTTTAGTACCGGTTGGTGGCTCCAACCGGTACTAAAGGGGGGGTCTTTAGTACCGGTTCGTGGCACGAACCGGTACTAAAGGGGCTGTTTCCCGCCTCTTGGCCTGGCGAAAATAGGCCTTTAGTACCGGTTGGTGGCTCCAACCGGCACTAAAGACCCCTCCTATATATATGGAACCTACGAAAAAATCAGTTTCACCCACCAGTAGTTCTTCTCGATCCAAACTTCTTCGCCGCGCCCGTCGCCCCATCGCGCGCCGCCCTCGCCGCCCCCGC